GTCTGTGGTTTTAACAGGTAAATGGTGAAGTACATAGGATCTCATAAGGAGACAGCTATTCTGTACTAAATCAAAGAGCTTTATCATTTTATTGAGATTTCTTGAAGCTATCGAACACTGTAAGTAGATTCTGACGTGGCTTTGTTTTGTTTACTAAATGTGATGTGTGTGTATATATATATATATATATATATATATATATATATATAGCATTTGGGAGAGTAGAACAGAAAAATGTGAATGGTTGAGAATTTTGCATTCACTTTATTACTTGTCACAAAATACATTATATTCCATTTATATCACCTGGATCAAGAACAGCAGGAGTTATACAAATATTTTTTGATTTGAATTAAGCATCATGATGTAATTCAACTATGACTTCAATAGCAAAATATATTTCTTTTTATATTTAACTAATGTATAATATTTATAATGTTACAATGCTGCTAAAATTAAATCACTTAAATTTTCTGTAAAAAATGTAACATTTAAAATTTTAACCACAAGCATCATGATTATAGTGCTGCCTGCTTTGATTATTTCAACCAATTAAATTTGACTTGAGAAGAAAGAGTTCTTTCGCCCTCTTGTGGAGTTTTCCCTGAACTGCATTCTCCAGGAGTTGCACATAGAACTGTATTTTTTCTTCCCCTTTTAAAAGTCAATATTTTGTTTTTGAATTTTCCTTAAGTTCTTAGTTTCCAAAGACAAAAAATATACTTTATGCCATCGCTTAACATTATATTTCATAAATTGATTCTTTTTCTTGTTGTTTTGGGAAATATTTTTTTGTTTCCTTGCAATTACCTACCAAAGGAATTCTTCTAAAAGTTACTTTCTGGATTCTGACGCACATACAACATAACAACAAATCTCTATAACCATAGATAATCTCTTAACATAAATGTGAATAAATAAGGAGTGTCAACATAAATGTGGTGTAAGAGTGTCAACATTTTTTCTCAAAGAGAAAGGTCTTACTAAGTCATTTATCAGTTCAGAAATTCAGAGGCTAATGATATCAGTCTAAATATTTTAAGTTTTAAAATAATAAAATACTACTTTTTATAAAAACTAGCCTAAGTCACATGTGATAGATTACCCCTTTTCCCTCTAGAACAAAACTTCTAGATCCTTTAAAAATAGTAACCTGTAGTAATAATTAAAACTATGTAAGCTGACAATATGAAGTTGTAACATATAGTGTATTTTTTTAAAGAAAATTTATTAACATCAGGCAACAATTAGTGTCTAACTATTTATACACTATGTACAGTGCCTGCCCAGACCCTGAATCCCAGGACCCATACCTGGGAATGTGCCTGTGACTTCTGTGAGACTCCACCAGTACCTGCCCAGTAAGCTGGTATCCAGAGCCCATGTCAGGGGAACAACAAGTGTGGCTCCAGAACCCACAACATCCATGAGACCCAACTAGCTACTGTCCAAGATAGATGAGACCACTGACTAGTGAAGGTGAGGAGACATGCCAAAAGGAATCCCTACCTTCAGCAGTTGGGACCCAACACAGATACCGGGAGGAAGGAAAAACCTAACAAGCAGCATATGAGTTCTTAGGGAACTAACAGTAACACCCAGAGAGAACAAATCTTCAGAACACAATTTATGTAAAATATATGGAGGTTTTCAGAACATTAAAAATACATTTGGGGGCCCTCCCTGGTGGCGCAGCGGGTTAAAGCACAGCACTGAGAATCTAAAGCCGCTTCCGCATGAGTTCGATTCCCGCCTGCCCCGGAGGTGACCACATGGCGTGGCAGACCTCTCCTGACGCGCCCGCTGCTCCCCTCAGCAGTGTACTTCTTCGATCTGCCTGTTCTGCTCCCCACTCTGTCTCTGGTGAATCCTCTCACCCTCCGCGTCTCTGGCCTGTACCCCAGTTCTGTATGTACAAATAAATAAATCTTTAAAAAAAAAAATACATTTGCCATATGACATACTAATTCCACTCCTAGGCATCTTCCAGAAAAATTCAAAATAATTATAAAGGAAACTTGTGGCCTCTTTTCCACGTAGGGCCTCACACCTGTGTATGTGTAGCCTCTCTATGCACCTATGTGTTTAAAAGATTTGGACAAGTCACTCCTGCATGACTGCCTTGAGACAATGGCCCACATCAGGAGTTGGCAGAGGACACCTAGGTAACCGTTGGTTGATTTGTGGCCAGGATCCGAGATGGTGTGGGATTATCTCAAAGATTATACCATGCACCTGCATGGGAAGTTACTCCCTGTACATATGGCCGACATGTGCCTCCTTGTTCCCCATAAATTGATTACCCTTTGAGTCCTTTAAAATCCTGTTCCGCATGAGATAAATACCCTTTGTTTCCCCTGGACCCTGCTTCTCCTGCTACTGTCACATAATCAATCATGTTTGTTCATTATTGCTAAATAAATAGCAAGAGAGCTCCTCACTCAGGAGCAGTCTTGCCTAACAAATCTGCTACATGACATGTCTCTCAAATGTGCTCCCAGGAGAATGCTGGTGTGTGCCTGACCATCAGAGAAACTTGCATTCCCACATTCAATTCAGTGCTCTTTACAAAAATTTACCAATTTGGAAAGTGCCCCTAAGTAGATGAGTGAATTAAGATGATATGGTATATATTCACACTGTGAAATATTATTCTGCAATCGAAAAAGATTAACTAACCCATGCCATTTGCAGCAACCTGGATGGAGCAGGAGGGGCTAGCGCTAAATAAAAAGTCAGAAGGCGAAATCTAAATAGTGGATGGTATCACTATTATGTTGCATATAAAGTAAATAAACTAAGGGACAGAAGAGACAAGTTTAACGACTATCTCTTGAAAGCTGATTACAGAACTGAAGCTTCCAGAGGGGAAGGGTAAGAACAAAGAGACAAGGAAGCACAATGGACTCTGGTTGTGAGCGCTGGGTAATTTGGTGGTGGGTGCATGCACTACAGTGGCAATACATGATGGGGGTATTCTAAATATTACCTAAATAAAAAAAAAAAAATTAAAGAAGTATTACATATAGGCCTTCCTTGGTGGCGCAGCGGGTTAAAGCACAGCACTGAGAAGCTAAAGCCACTTCCACATGAGTTCGATTCCCACCTGCCCTGGAGGTGACCACATGGCGTGGCAGACCTCTCCTGGCCCGCCCGCTGCTCCCCTCAGCAGTGTACTTCGTTGATCTGCCTGTTCTGCTCCCCACTCTGTCTCTGGTGAAGCTTCTTGCCACCCCTGAGCCTCTGGCCTGTACCCCAGTTCTGTATGAACAAATAAATAAATTAAAAAAAAATAAAAGTATTACATATAATAAAAATAGGCTTCCTAATTAAAGACCACTCTGAGGAACATTAAAAATAGTCTTAATATCAAATAATAAACATTTGAAATTATCACATTTTAAAAGGAAAGTATATATGTAATCCATACTTATACCAATACAGGAAAGGAATGACTAGAATTACAGAAAGTAATTCTAAAAGGATGGAAGTGCTTCATATTGAGAGACAAGAACTCCCAAAAAACTGGTGGCCTGATATGGCATATCTCAGTAATTGAAGTTGATTTAGGAAGATCACAGCTAAGATGGTAACTAAGGAGCAGCAAGAAGATGAAATTGAGAACTTAACAGGGGCCAGAATGAAAAGGGCCAGAAAGAAAAAAGTTAGACATTAAGGAATTAAGTTGGAAACACAGGAAAACATCTGCAGCAAGATAGGACTTTGGTGAATCATAAAGCATGGAGATCAGGGCTCTCCCTTAGGTGCTATGGGTTAAAGCACAGCACTATGAAGCTACCTGCAGCCACTACAGCACGAAATTTATCCCTGCCCAGAGATCTGACTCACATGACACAACAGACCTCTCTATCCGCTGCTCCCCTCAGCAGTGTATTTCAGTCAATCTGCCTGTTTTGCTCCCCACTCTGTCACTGGTGAATCTTCTCAACACCCTGCCCCTATTTCTCTGGCCTGTACCCCAGTTCTTGAATGTATAAGTAAACAATCTTAATTAAAAAAAAAAAAAAGAATGGAGATGAGATGGAAGGGGTGAGAAGACAGGAAATTACTTACAAGTTCTTTATAATGACAAACGTCTGAAAGATGGCAAGGGTTCTGAACACTGAGAAGATTAAGAAAAAAACCTAGTTGAGTCACGTGGGGTTAGTTCTATGAGAATGTGTGTTGGGAGTTTCAAGCTTATATTCTAGTTTAGTACTGGATGAATGTACCATTATCAGACACAAGTTAATATTTCAGATATGCTACATTTAGGTGTCACCCAGAAACAGTAAATAGGCCAACAGGCTCAGATACATGGACTTCAGGATGAGAAAATGTAAACTATCAGTGGCTGTGTAGTAAACGGAATATGGATGAAAGACTGCCCAGGGAAGGTGATAAGGCATGTGCATTGGTAAAACAGGAGATGAATTAGTTTGCATTCATTTTACAGATAAGAAAACTGAGGATGATAAAGAAATTAAGAGGCTTACTTAAAGCTGTTTATCTGTAGGCGTGAACAAGAAACACTGAACTATTTTGTTCCTACTATGTTGTCCTTCCACTTCTATCTCTTAAATTTTCAGAGGACAAGGAACAAAAGAACTTTCCATCAATAGTTATTTATTTGATAGTAATAAATGATTCTGTTGTTACTATTTTGCATATACACTCAAAACTAAAGTGCTGCATTTCCAATGATAACCTTTCAATAACATAGTACATTAATAAGACCCAGAATTTACAATTCAACATATGCATTTTGAATAGCCTGGAAATGTCCGATTTCATAATTACAGTAGCAACTGGCATTTTTATCAAACACACAGAGAATGTAGTTAGACATTTCATAGAGAGAAAAACTGCTCTAGCTCTATTTTACAGTCCTTTTAAAATATGTATGTATGGTTGAGAATTCTCAGTGAATTCTACCATATCCCAGAACACATTTTAATAGTCCTGTTCCCAAAAAACATACAGACATTTATTTGAAATACCTGCTTGATTTGGCCGTTGCCAGCTAGGTGATTTGATGACACTGGTGGCTCCTATAGGCTTGAAAGCAGCAGCAGTGGGAAGGCCAGCCATGCCTGGCCTCTCTGCCTTCTCAGGCATGCTGCGTGCTGAGGCAACTGTTGGAGCCAAATGCTGAGAAGGCTCCTGAGTGTTGCTGGAAATAAAGGAAGAAAACATTTTTAGGGAAGTGGTAGCAACCTAATTTTACAATGATACTTTCTTTTCTCAATTTATTAAATATATAAAGAAAATAAAGATAATAAGTAAATGATAAATATTTTTTAAAACTCTAAAAACATGGCTAAGTAAAAGGAAAGGAGTCAGGTTAAATATGTTCAATACCTTGGAAAATCTTTTTAAAAGATCATGAGGATGTTGAAAAATTTATATAGCTACAAAATAGGCTACTTCAGTCCAGTGTCTTTGTGATAACATGAATGTAAAATTCATTAACAAAACATTTGCAAACCAAATGCAATAGTGCATCAAAAAGATTACACACCATGACCAACTGGGATTTATTCCAGGGATGCAAGGATAGTTCAACCTTCAAAAAAAAAACTAATTCACCACATCAATAATGGAAAGATTAGAAATCCAATGAGCACATCAAATAGATGCAGAGGCATTGAATATTCCACATCCACTTAAGATAGAAACTCTCAAAATAAAGGCTACATGTAAAAACACAGAGCTAACATCATACTTAATGATCTCTAAGACCATGTGCAAGAGAAGGATTTACACATTCATCACTACTATTCAACAAAGTACTAGAAGTCCTCGCTAAGCAGAGTTAGAGATAAAGAAATGGAGAAAACTATATGACATCAAAAACAATTAAATATCTAGGAATAAACTTAACAAAAGAGGCAAAAGATCTGTACAACAACAAAAATTAAGACTTGCTAAAAGAACTAGAAGACATAAAGAAATGAAAAGATATCACCTGCCAGTGGATTGGAAGAATTAACACTGCTAAATTGGCCAACTTACCCAAAGCAATATACAGAGATTCAAAGCAATCACTATCAAAAACTCAATGGCATTGTTAAAAGGAAGAAACATTACTGAAATTTCTATGGAACTATAAAAGACCCTAACAGTCAAAGCAATTTGACAAAAAATAAGGAAGGAGTTAACACATGCCTAGACTTCAAGCTATACTACAAAGCTATGTTAATTAAAACAGTATGATTTTGGAATCAAAACAAATGTCAAAAAAAGAAAAAAAATACATGTAGATAAATGCAATAAAACAGAAAGCTCAGAAATAAACCAATACTTATGTGAACAGTTAACCTATAAAAAGGAGCACAGAGTATACAATAAAGTAAAATCTTTTCAACAAATGGTACTTGGAAAGCTGGATAGCTACATGCAAAAGAATGAAACTATAACAGTATCTCATACAACATACAAAAGTTCACCAAAATGAATTATGCACTTGGATAGAAAACTTGAATCCATAAAATATATAGGAAAAAAAAACAAGTTGAATGAAAGTAAAAGAGTTAGGTTACTTATGTTCAATACTTTGGAAGATCTTTTAAAAAGATCATGAGAAATTAGGGGGCTGAAAAACTTATATAGCCAAACCTTTAAAATAAGCAGGACACTCTACAATACTGGCCTCAGGAATATCTTTTCAGACTTCACTCCAATAGTAAGAGAAACAAACAAAAATAAACAAATGGGACTACATGAAAAGAAAGTTTCTATGCAGTTAGAAAAAAAAAAACAACCCACAAACTATCATTAAAATAATAACACACTCTACCAAAAAAGCAAAAATGTCTACACGTAATATATTCATCAAGGGAAAAACCCAAAATCTACAAAGAACTAAAACATCTCAACAACAGTAACATAAATATCCCTACCAAAAAAAACTGGACAAGAGCCAACAGGAGCATGAATATATACTTATCATTACATTCCAGGGAAATGCAAATCAAAACCAAAAGTACTTCTTACATGTGAGAACCCATATCAAAAAGACAAAAAGCAAGCTTTCTCAAGGATGGATAGCAAAAAGGCACATATACACACTGTCTGTGAGAATGCAGACTGAATGCCTCCGTCCTATGGAATACAGCATTGGGGCTTCTTAAAATATTAAAGTAAATCTACCACATGATCAACCAGTTCCACTTCTAGATATCCTAGGTATTTACTTGAAGAATGCAAAAAGACTAACTTGAAGGGATATATGTACATTTATGTTCACTGCAGTAATATTAACAACAGCCAAGTTATGGAAACAACCTAAGTGCTCAAAGGTAGATGAGTGACTTAAGAAGATGTGGCATATATACACAATGATATAGCAGTCAGCTAAAAAAAAATAGATGAACTCTTGCCATTTGTGATGTGGATGGATCTGGAAGAATAATGCTGAAATGAAGGAGAATCAGAAATCAGGAGAAAGACAAATACCAGAATGATTCATTTATATGTGGAAATAGAGAACAAAATAAAGGAATAGACAAAACCAAGCTAATATAAGCTCCAGAAATCGAACTGTAGAACTGAATCTACCAGGAAGGTAAGGGCAGAGTGGGAAGCAAAGAAGGGCAGTACTCAAATGAAATATGATGAGCACTATGAAGTGCCCTGGTGGAGGGTGTGGTGTGATAACATACATGTGAAGGGATATGGACCTATACCTCTATATCACTTAAGTGTTACAAACCAATGTTCCTATAGTTAAAAAAACAAAACTGGGCCCTTCCTGGTGGCACAGCATGTTAAAGCACAGCACTAAGAAGCTAAAGCCACTTCAGCTTAGGTTCGATCCTTGCCCCAGAGGTGATCCACATGATGCAGCAGACCTCTCCTAACCTGCCTCCTGCTCCCCTCAGCAGTGTACTTTGTCAGTAGGTTTGTTCGGCTCCCCGTTCTGTCTCTGGTAAATCCTCTCACCGCCCCTGCGCCTCTGGCCTGTGCCCCAGTTTTGTATGCATAAAGTCTTTAAAAAATAAAAAAATAAAACTAATTTAGTTTCCTATTTCTTTCTCAACATATCAAAAGAGCCATATAGAATAAAATGATTACTTATTGATAAATCCTGATCATCCCTGTGAAATGCCATTGATGTTCCTTCCTTCTCTCCTACATTCCTCTGGTACACCTCACCAGTTATTCTTTTCACTCACATACTCAAGTCACTCATTCATTCAATACATACTTAAGCACACAGGATGTGTCATAAATATGTAGTGCACTGGCTACACAGTGAAGGGGTATGGACCTATACCTCTATATCACTTAAGTGTTACAAGAATCAAGTTCCCAACCCTAACAGAATGGCAGGTGTCCTGTGTCCATAAGGCAGGAAAACAGAGGTAAAACTGCCATCTCCTCTCTTAACTAGTTATTTAATTAACTGGAGACCTTACCTGTGTGGCTGCACAGATATCTGATTTAAATTAAGATGACCAAATAGCTTTACCACCCAGTTATTGTTATTTATAATTATATACTATCATTTCTAAAACTCCCACCCTACCCTGCAAATCAAAAAAACTTTTAATACAAGTATTTTGTAATGATGCAACAGCAAGGGATACTGCTGACTCTTGAAAAACACTGATGTTATAGGCACCCCGCATAGTTATAAAGTCCATACATAAGTCTCCAAAAATTAACAATAGCCAGTGTTAATTAGAAAGGTTTACAATAACACAAATAGTCAAATAAAACAGACTGTGTTATATGCTACATTTATTATACACTGTGTTCCTACCATAAAATAAGCTAGAGAAAAAAAATTCAAAAAACATATTCACAATACTGTACTTTATTTATCTACAGCACAGGTTACATTGTTTGCTTACAAGAAAATCCATTGAAAGTGACCCTTCACAGGCTAAGCCCTTGCTCTCCAATGATTGACTTATATGTATCTATCAAGTGAAATAACAATGACAATACAACTCAATAGTTAATTTAACTAGTTGCTCAAACAATCCCATTACAGAAACTCAATTCCGGTGAATGACCAAAATTATAGTTGAGGTAACAAATCAATAAAAAAAAGAAAATATTATATGTGTTACTTTAGTAAAGTTAACTATCCTCAATTTGTTGTTTAAGGTGAGAATATTTAACTGAAAGTAGTTTTTAAATTCCCTCATGCCCACCAAATTACCAAATGAACAAGAGTTCCTATTTTTCCAACGCCTCCGGAAACTGGGATAAAACCTGCCACAGTGGGCCTGAGAGCGAGTATCCTCTGGAAGGCCTGCTTGTAAGAATGGCTAATGACTGGCAGTTGGGAACCTGCTACTGAATAGTCCCTGTAGTGATAGAAAAGGTGGTGTATTATGTTACATTATATAAGCAACCTGGTTTATGCTAATCACTACATGCAATATTGATATGAACTTGGCATATATCTTTATCAAGGATTTCCCTCTAGTCCCCGAGCCAAAAAAAAAAAAAACCCTTTTCTTATACACTGAATTTCTAATGTGCTTCTCTGATAGACAACATCTAGCACATTTTAGAAGAATGCATAACTGCAGTTAAGTGTGTTCTGTGTGACTCTACAAGGAGAAGATTCAGAAGTGTTTCCTTCTTGACGTGATTTCACATATCTTTTCCCTTTGCTGATTTTGCCCTGTATTCATTCACTAAAATAAAGCTGAGTCAAGTACATTTCCCATCCTAAACAATTTTGAAAAACTGTATTATATTTTCACTTTCTTTAAGTACTGTTCCCTGTTTTCTCAGTAAAAGTATAAGAGATACCACCTTCTTTTATTCATTTTTAGGCGGTTTAATGAGACTAAAACCTGCTTGATGTTACAAATTGCAATGAAATATTTAAGCACCTTATAATTTTTATCATGAATAGCAAGTGACATAACCCTTAAACAGTACTCTTTAATAGGACAGAGTAGATTATATATTTATATAAAAAAACTTATAGAAATCTAAGTGATAAGCAATAGTTATTTCATATTTTTAAATTCAGGATTTATCAGCAGCTCAACAGTCTGTGAGGAAATAAATCTTAACTTACTTAAAACATTTTATGGGTAACTAGGTTTCTTTCTGACAGTCATATCTGAATACATGACACCTAAAAGTGTCTAAAAGTCTAACATGCCTCTTTTTCTTAACTTTCCATTATTGCCTAGTATTTAAAAATACACACACAAATTAGATATCATGTACAAAACATTAAGAAATTAAGTCATAGGCCATATTATCTTTATTCAGATATAAAGTTTCAGCAATAATCAATAGTAGCAAAAAGTCTAAAATTAATGATTGATTAATAGACTGACATGATTACTGAAGTTAGCCTACAATGTTTTATTTCTAAAAACATGCCTCATATTTTTTCTAAACTTATATTGCTGAAAGAATACCTAAATATTAAGTAAACTTAAAGTGCTTTTTAATACCCTATTGAGGAAAGCATAGAAAAATCCATAAATACCTTGGCCAATACCTTAAAAGTTAAGAATAAAATACCATAATTTGGACCAGTAAAATCCTAATGCAACAAAGGCTGCCCATATCCTGACAAGAAGTACTGACACAAAATGTCAAAATTATGCAACTTTCATATAAAAAATACCAATGATTTTTTGCTTCATGCATCAAGAATTAAAAAAAAAGGTAAATATAATAAAGCAAAGATTTCTTTTCAAAACTGAACTTAAAATGAAGAGGGCTGGGGAGGGAGGCAGATGGGGTATAGACATGGTGGTTTAATGGAGGGGAAAAAAGGGAAAAAATGTAGTGTGTAATGGATCACACAAATTGCTCATAATATACTAATCTCAGTGGGAGAAAACAGGTATACTAATATACAGGCTCTAAAGCAGTAAGGAAGGAATTTTTCTTGCAGGTTTATAATTATAACGACTTTTTATTTTAGTAGAATCCTTCCATCAGAATTCTATAAAAGGACCTATATAGAGGACAAAGAAAGGAGTTATGAGCCTCCTTCCTTCCAGATTTCTTTGTTTAAAAGAGAACAGTTTTGTATTTTCCAAACATTAATTTAGACATTCTGAATCAAAATTCTAAATTATATATATCATAGTGGAAAGAATTAACATATATCACATTTCAAGTGTCATATTCATACATTATTATAATTTCAATGATTCCAGTTAATACAAATGCAGAGTATAATACTTAGCACTATCTCAGCTATTACTGTTGGTACCTTTCTTCTCATTGTTTCTTGCAAACACTTCCCTCAGGAAATCCCATGTTTTTGCTTATTATAATGTTAACGACCTTACATTGCTAAGAACTATTTTCCAAATATCAAAACAAATTGTGTGTGATCTATTGCTATTAATGAAAAGCAATGACAATGACTACTACTAACACTTGCTCTACAAATGGGTCTACAGAAAACCTCAATCATAAAAGGCACAGCACTTACCCAAAAGATGCAAATATACCTCTGTGTACAGGCATAAGTACTTTTCTGGAAAGCAATGCTAGAATCTATCATTAGGTTTTCAAATATAAGGTATTTTGAGCATTTTTTTTAAGTGTAAAATGTATTATCACATTTCTCCTTCTGTTTAAACACCTCCCATAAATTGTTACCCAGAATTATAATTAAACATATCAAAAAATCTCCAAACTGTGATCAACAGATAGCTTATGTCGCATTAGGATTATACTAACTATAGCCACAGCTCTATACCCTGCCATTAATTTTATGCTGTCAAAATTATTTTATATAATCACTTTAGTTAGATTTGACCTGTAGTAAACACGTTTAATTTTTGTTTTTCTATTATGCCTAATAATTTTTGTATAATAGTTAAAACTTAGAAGAAAAATTAATTTTCATGTTTTAGCATTTCTCAGATATGGTGGAAATCAAGTTGTCATACTTAAGAACTACAGGATAGTAGCCAGTCATGAGGATGTGGTTTATACATAAACAGAATATTACTCAGCTATAAAATGAGATGATACTTTACCTTCTACAACAACATGGATGGACTTTGAGGGAATTATGTTTATCAAAACGATTCAAGGATAAACATGACATGACTTCATTCTTAAGTAATATAGAAAGAAAAAAAACCAAACAAACTAAATAAAGCAAACAAACTTTTAGATAAGATGAAATCAGTGATAACCAAAAGGAAAGGGGAAAGGAAGGTGAGCTAATGAGGTAAAAGGTCAATTGTGGAGTGAAGGAAGGAAAGAATTAGATTTTTAGTGTAAACTGAATGTAGTATATATAGATGTTGATTTATGACACCACCCTGTAACCTACACAAATGTTGTAATACAATGCTACTTCAATGAAAAAAAAATAGCCAAATTCATAATTACTTTTTCAAAATATATGTTACCAAACACTTGACTAGTTATAGTTACATCCAAATAATACAAAATATGGTTGTATTACAATTTGAACACTTGCAGAATTATATACCAAACATCAAGTGTTATAATAAAAGCTATTTAAAAGGGTTAAAAGGTGAGTTAAAAATCACACAAAATACAAATCTGTACATAGGCCTTTGCACTGAAATGTTAATTTAAAACTGGACACAAATCAGCTCAAGGGATTTCTTATCACGTTTGTTAATAGGTGGTTATTACAGAAAAACCGCATCTTCACCAGCAAACCACCACTTGTGAATCAATCCCACAGTACCTTGTTTCCTTAACATCCACAGAACCAGCTGATTTCCTTGAGGGCTGGAGATATGAAAAAACTAGAGGCTTGGAAATAGGACTGATGCAAAGTGCATCCAGCAGTGAGTGATAATTTTCAGGACTGCATAGCCTGGTGAGCATTTAGAAAGAGTTTTGAGTAAGAAAATCATATTAATCATAGCAGAAAGTAATTTGATAGTATAAGATTTGCAACATTTCCAAAAAAGTGGTGAGGAGACAGACTGAAAGAGAATAAAACAACAATAAGAATGAAAAGATCTAAGACTCAATTATATATTTATGCTATTTCACTCATGAACACTAGAAGTGATTAAATTTTGACCAGACTTTATCAGAGCACCTTTTAGAAAATATTAAAGCTATATAAAGACAAAACATACATACACACACACACACACACACACACACAAATTTACTTGGGGGAGGTATGTAAGGACTTTAGATCAGGTTGTGAGAGGGAAAAAGATTATAGCAATTTAAAATACTCACTGATCCTTGATTGTGTTCCATACATAAAACTAAAAAATCATAAATGCCCAAAAGGTATACAACAATCCACATAACTGAGAATTATAAATGGTAAGCAACGCAAAGGAATACAAGGATGATTTAAACAAAAACCAGTACTTAACACTAATGTAAATTCATAATCAAGATAACATAGCCGCAATATACTTAAGACTTCATACTACAACTGTGACTGTTTGAAGTGGTTAGGTTTTCTTTGAAGTGACTGGTGAGACAATGGAAACTGCTGGGTCCCATCAGACAACATTGCAAATGTAGTTCTACCTGGTTTTTGCAGCAATAACAGCAGAAACAGTAGCAGCTGCACTGCTCAGGATGGCAGCACTATATCTGGCAGGAGAAGGGGAGGTAGAAAAGTTGCGAAAACCTTCCAAAGAACTTGTCACCACATTTCTTGTGGAGCTACTTAAGTTGATAGGAGGGGAAAGGAAAACAGAGAAGAAAATGATGGTAAGAATAGGGAACAAAATAAAGAATAACCATCCTATATAAATATTTAAATATTAAGTTACAAAATCTCAGAAGTATAACAGGATTCCAGGTTATTTATTACTGTTGTGATTTCTCATAAATTAAAAAGATACATTATCCATTATAAAAATGATTTTTTAGACACAAATAGCTTTGACTATATCTAAGTTCATTATCTTAATGCTTTTAAAATTAAATCAAAATTAGATAACATTTGAAAATTAATTTGTCAATAACTAAGTAGAATATAAATCTAAACACGAAGTCTAAATTTCTACAAACAGGGAAGAGAAAAATTAGATTTCTTACAAAATATCTTTACATAAAGTGTTTTACCTTAGCGGTGACATATACCCAGAGTATGACATTTTAAAGATATCTGTGATTTTCAGGGTCATGCTCAACAAGCTGCCTATTCAGAAGCAGCAACACACATTAATATGAAAGGAAATACCTTTCATATTCATGTTGAAAATACTGAGAGTAAAGCTGTTGGGAGAGGGCAAGAACTTCTGTAAAATAAGTAGTAGCTACAGTGAGTGAATGTGACTACAACATCACCTTCTTTGCTGGTCTGTTTCAGTTAGTTTCGTAAGGTTTAAAAAGGATGGTAAATTTTTATTTCTCAGAAATTTTATTTCTTAAAATAATATGTATTTACCCTAGACAGAAACTAACATGCCATCAGTAGGACTATACTACTTTCAAATTCATTATTAAACTGGAATTGAAAATTTAAGAATGTCTAAAACACGTAGTGTAAATTTGCAGTGTTTCCCTCACTTATACATGTAGGTTATTAATGAATATCCTCACTGTAATATGTACAATTTTTTCAAAATTTGTGACAGTGGTCACCTCCAAGGCAAATTATGTGCTAAGCTCAACCTAAGTTAATGAAAATATCAGTTGATAAAGTTTTTTGTCCCTGTCAGAAGAACTTGAGTTTCTATCATTCCTAGTTCTAGATACTGTTATTTTATATTTTAGAAGACACTTAAAGACATATTGGGAAGTCATTTTTATCAAAAATTATACAGATTTATACAGACTTGTATAATTAAATTGTATGGCTATGTTTTAACAGCTGTGTGAATGGTCAGAAAAGAGTGGATGCTAGAAAGAGAAAAGAGGCCCTCCCTGGTGGCGCAGCGGGTTAAAGCACAGCACTAAGAAGCTAAAGCCACTTCAGCATGAGTTCGATTCCCGCCTGCCCAGGAGGAGACCACATGGCGCGGCAGACCTCTCCTAACCCGCCCGTTGGTCCCCTCAGCAGTGTACTTCCTCCATCTGCCTGTTCTGCTCCC